CCTGGTCTCCTCCTCCCATGCCCGCCTCCAGGACTTCTCCAGGGTGTCACCCATCCTCTGGAACTCCCTGCCCCAACCCATCAGATTATCACCTACTCTCCTCTCCTTTAGGCGCACCCTGAAAACCCATCTCTTCAGGGAAGCCTACCCCGCCCCCTGCTAACTTGCCGACCTCCTCCACTCTTCCTACCACTCCACCCTTCACCCTTCACAGCTATTTCCTCCTGTGCCACCATCCCCTCCCTCCTAGATTGTAAGCTCGAAAGAGCAGGGCCCTCGATCCCCTCATGTTTTGCATTGTATTGGTATTCTGTCACATGTTCTGTTCCCCTCTGTAATGTACAGCGCTGAGCGAACTATTGGCGCTTTATAAATACTGTATAATAATAATAATAATAATTTTACAGATTTTTTGTGGCTGATGTGGCAGTATGAATTTAAGCCTAGTACCCACTATAAGAAAATTGGACGAACAATCGTCTGGTTTTCCAGGAAGGTGAATATCATGATGTAACTGAAAATTATATTAACTTCAATGGAAATTTTCGAACAACAAAGGAAATGTAGATAAAGGGAGCCACATACTAGTGTAGTAGCAGAGGAAGGGATATAGTGTACGTGACCCTTCTAGCCATGTCCACCAAATACGGTCAATTATCTCCGTACAATTACTGTACACCTTGAACGGATATTGAGCATTGTGTTAAGTTGCAAAATAAATTTTCTAGCTTGCACCTTCATTTTTTTTCGTCTGAACAGTCGGCTGTTAAAAGTGGTGTACTAACGAACAGATATTCTACCCTTTTACAGAAATTGTCATCCAATTTTCTTACCGTGTGTACTGGCCATTAGGGATAAGATATGTACTCTAGTGGGGGTTTCGTTTATTTGTAATAATTATCTGCTTGAGGTTTATTCATTTATTGTTATTTCACTATATATTTGTCTCTATATATTTAATAAAGCCCAAATCACTCTTCCAGGTTTTTTCACTGTGATATAGTCTGGCTGCATACATTGTAATAAATATGGACATCCCTTTTAATGGTTTGATTATTAGACACATGCAATTTGGTTCATTACAAATCATTTTTCATATGAAAAATTGTTATTCAGACATTTGGATGTAAACGAATGGGTACGTTGCTTTGCCCGTGCGGGTCTTGTGTCTGCAGTAGATAGCGGGTGGGCAAGTGGTTAATCAATAGCATTGCTCGGGGAGAGTAAACCCCAGTAATTGGAGCAGTGTGTGAGGAGGGCATGTCCAGAGACCTAGACCATTGCGCTTTGTGCTAAGCACAGATCTGGCCTCAGGGGTTTTTTGTCACCCTTTACCACAACCAATTGAAAGTAAATGAAAAAGAATCCCAAATGAATAGCTGTGTACACACTTGCATGTGTTGAATACCAGCAGGGGCCATGGAACAGCAAAGAGGCAAATTTGAAGATACAGGCCACTGGAAACTTACGTATAGATGCTCTTTTTTTTTTTTTTAACAAGGTGACCTTATTTTTTTACAAGTGATTCTGTAGTAATTTAAGCAGAACTGTCAAAATATTGGATAACAAATGAAACTACTATTATGTATTAAACGACAAAACAAGAAGGGCACAACAGCCTTGTGCATTTCCTTAAGCACTATTTATTACAGTGTTACTAACCCACAACAGTAAAATCAGTCTGTATACAGTTGTGACCAAAATTATTCAACCCCCACTGAAATTGAGTGTTTTGGCCAGTTTGACATTGCTTTTGATCATTCAGTCATCTTGCTTACATTTACATTAAAGAGGCACTTGTAGGTCAGACAAATATAACATAACAGTTATAATGAAATAACCACAAATGTCTTTTCTGTGCTCACAGCATTATCAGTTTTATTCAACTGTTTTTGCTTCCCAAGTGACATTCAATCTTAGTACTTAGTACAGCATCCTTTTACAGTTATAACAGCTTTTAAACGTGAAGCATAGCTTGACACAAGTGTCTTGCAGCGATCTACGGGTATCTTCGCCCATTCTTCATGGGCAAAGGCCTCCAGTTCAGTCACATTCTTAGGCTTGCGCACTGCAACTGCTTTCTTTAAGTCCCACCAGAGGTTCTCAATCGGATTTAAGTCTGGTGACTGCGATGGCCACTCCAAAATGTTCCAGCCTTTCCTCTGCAACCATGCTCTAGTGGACTTGGAGGTATGCTTGGGATCATTGTCCTGTTGAAAGGTCCAACGTCTCCCAAGCCTCAGGTGTGTGACGGACTGCATCACGTTTCCATCCAATATCTCCTGGTACTGAAGAGAATTCATGGTACCTTGCACACGCTGAAGCTTCCCTGTACCTGCAGAAGCAAAACAGCCCCAAAGCATGATTGACCCTCCACCATGCTTCACAGTAGGCAAGGTGTTCTTTTCATCATAGGCCTTGTTCTTCCTCCTCCAAACATAGCGTTGATCCATGGGCCCAAACAGTTCTAATTTTGTTTCATCAGTCCACAGAACACTATCCCACAACTTTTGTGGTTTGTCCACATGGCTTTTGGCATACTGCAGTCGACTCTTCTTATTCTTTGGAGACAGCAAGGGGGTACGCCTGGGAGTTCTGGCACGGAGGCCTTCATTACGCAGTGTGCGTCTTATTGTCTGGGCTGAAACTTCTGTACCCACATCTGACAAATCTTTTCTCAGTTCCTCAGCAGTCACACGGGGACTTCTCTCCACTCTACGCTTCAGGTAGCGCACAGCAGTCGAAGTCAGCATCTTCTTTCTGCCACGACCAGGTAGCGTTTCAACAGTGCCCTTTGCCTTGAATTTGCGAATGATGCTTCCTAAGGTGTCTCTTGGTATGTTTAACATCTTTGCAATCTTCTTATAGCCATTTGCCCTTCCTGTGAAGAGAAATCACCTCTCTCTTCTCTTGTCTTCCTGGACCATTCTCTTGCCTTCACCATGTTTGTAACCACACCAGTAAATGTCTAGAAGGAGCTGAGTATCACAGTCATTTTAAAGCTGCCTAATTGGTGCTTATTATGCTTGATTGCTGCTCGGTGACATCCACAGGTGTTTTCAATACCTGATGGAAAGCACCTGTATGAACCTCTGTTCTTCAGAGTGGTAGTCTTTAAGGGGTTGAATAATTGTGGCAATGAAGAAACCACATAAGAACCATTTACTACTGTATTACATAAACAATTGATGTCATTTTAGTTGCATTTGGGTAGTTACAACGTCCTTGTAGGATTTGATTCTGAATACAATTCCAAATGTACACTATAGTCCCTAAACCCCTTTACAGCATTGGGGGTGAATAATTTTGGTCACAACTGTATATAGTAAAGCATGCTTGTTGTACTCACTGTGGAACATAAGGGGTTAATCCTCCGCATTGCGTAAAAAGGCAGTTTGATCCTGACTTCTCTGCTCCTCCTCTTGTTCAAGTGTCTGTATCTTATCTCCTGCTAAGACAGACTTAACCTGTAGCCCTTCTGCACATGCTCAGTTTAGTGTGTGTTACTAGAGAGTTTTTTTTTTCTTTGGGAGAGTGCATGTGATCAGCACAGGGCCAATCAGCACTGTCCGGACAGAAGTTCAGGGATTATGTAACCTAATAGTACAATCCAGTACAAGATTAACCAGTGCTCGGCTGGACACTGATAGAAGTCACAAGACTGCTATATACTGCTGATGAGAAAAAGGTATTAAGCAGTTTATATTTACTAAAATAATTGCATTTTCATGTTCTGTGTACTGTGGGAGAACAAATATAGTGAATGCAGGGTCCTGGGTTTAGTAACACTTTAATTAAAAACTATACAAATATACTACTCACAAAACCATATAGCTTGGGTTGCATTATACGCTTACAGTCATTTGGCTTTTGTGAATATATTTGTATTCCTTTAATTAATAAATAATGCTTAAAGCAATTCATGAGGCTGTTCCACCCTTCTTGTAATTTTGTCGTTTGTAACTAAAGACTTCATGCAAAGGCCTGAAGTATTTCTTGACATCAAACTGAAGATTATGGCCATCAAGCCCTCCTATATCAGGACTGTCTGTTTTTCACATCTTTGTAGCGCTGAAGTGGTGTTTTTGCTTGATTTGCAATTTTGTATGGTAAAATGCATCTACCCCATGTTTCTCCCCCAATTTGCATAATAAATTAATACAGGTATATGCTTAAAAAAACACACAAAACATGTCAAAGTATTAAAGGGCCCTATAAAAAATCAACCCTAGTTGGCTGATCCATTAAATATACACTATATTGCCAAAAGTATTGGGAAGCCTGCCTTTACACACCATGAAATTTAATGGCATCCCAGTCTCAGTCTGTAAGCTTCAATATTGAGTTGGCCCACCCTTTGCAGCTATAACAGCTTCATCTCTTCTAGGAAGGCTGTCCACAGTGTGTCTATGAGAATGCTTGACCATTCTTCTAGAAGCCCATTTGTGAGGTCAGGCACTGATGTCAAAGGAGAAGGCCTGGCTTGCAGTCTCCACACTAATTCATCCCGAAGATGTTCTATTGGGTTGAGGTCAGGACTCTGTGCAGGCCAGTCAAGTTCCTCCACCCCAAACTCACTCATCCATGTCTTTATGGACCTTGCTTTGTGCACTGGTGTGCAGTCATGTTGGAACAGGAAGGGGCCATCCCCAAACTGTTACAACAAAGTAGGGAGCATAAAATTTTCCAAATGTCTTGGTATGCTTAAGAGTTCCCTTCACTGGAACTAAGGGTCCAAACCCAACCCCTGAAAAACAATCCCCACACCATAATCCCCCTCCACCAAACTTTACACTTGGCACAATGCAGTCAGGCAAGTACCGTTCTACTGACAACTGCCAAATCCAGACACGTCTATAGGATTGCCAGACAGAGAAGCGTGATTTGTCACTCCAGAGAACATGTCTCCACTGCTCTAGAGCTTAGTGGCGGTGTGCTTTATACTACTGCATCCAACGCTTTGCATTGCACTTGGTGATGTAAGGCTTGGATGCTGCTGCTTGGCCATGGAAACCCATTCCATGAAGCTCTCTATGCACTGTTGTTGTGCTAATCTGAAGGCTACATGAACTTTAGAAGTCTTTAGCTATTGTATTGACTCTGCAGACAGTTGGTGATTTCTGCACACTGTCCGCTTCAGCATGTGCTGACCCCGCTCTGTCATTTCACGTGGCCTACCACTTTGTGGCTGAGTTGCTGTTGTTCCAAGGTGCTTCCACTTTGTTATAATCCCACTAACAGTTGACTGTGAAATATTTAGTAGCAAGGAAATTTCATGGATGGACTTATTGCACAGGTGGCAACCTATCACGGTACCACGCTCAAATTCTCTGAGCTCCTGAGAGCGACCCATTCTTTCACAAATGTTTGTAGAAGCAGTCTGCATGCCTAGGTGCTTGATTATATACACCTGTGGCCATGGAGGTGATTAGAACACCTGAATCCAATGATTTGGAGGGGTGTCCCAATACTTTTGGCAATATAGTGTATATATTTTGGGTAGAGCAGGGAAGGGTTAGAAACTTTATTCCAGTTTGCAGCCCTATTTTAGAGAATTCTTATTTCTTGTTGTCAGGACCGGCAGTGATAGAAATGTTATCCAGCAGGGGCACAGACAAAATGGTGCATTTATTGGGTAGCTGTAATCTATAGAGACTAGTGATGTCAGTGACTAGGATGAGCCAGATTTTCCAAACAGCTTACAAGTTCCAAAAGGGAATCTGAACCCAAGTGAAATCAATGGGTCAGTTATCACCATTTTCAAGGCTAATTGGCAAGGGATTGTCAAACAAGTGGTGTGAGGGACTGGGCAATTCTAGGGGGATGTAGAAGTGCAAATAATTCCTCTGAAGTTGCACACCTGTACGATGTACTTTATGTAGTACAGCAAATGTGTCACAAAGTAATAAATGCTGTTTTGATT